GGGGGGGGGGGGTGGCCGGGCGGGCGCTGCTGAGCTCCGTGACAATCACAGTCTGTGACGTGCGATTTTCAACCCTTTTGTGTTATGGTCAGGATTTTAAAGAAAGATATTTTTATGGTAATTGTTGCTGGTCTATTTTACTATATATTTATGTAATAAATATATGATGAAAAAAAAAAAAACCCGGAAAAAAAAAAAAACGGAAAAAAAACAAAAACAAAACAAAAAAAAACCTACCAACCAAACCCACCCAGCCAGCTCTGCTTCGCAACGGGGGTGGGGGGTCCGGGGTGGGGGTGTGGGGGCGCAATGTGGGGTTTTGGGGGTTTGTGCACCGGAGGGGGGGGGTCCCTACTGCGCGTCGATGCGGAAGGAGAGCAGCTTCTCGGAGTGGAGGTTGTTGAGGGTGCGCAGGTCGGGCAGCTTCAGCAGCAGTTTGGTGAAGCGGGAGCTTTCGGCCGGCCGCGTCTTCTGCACCAGCGCCCGCAGCGCGCGGATCAGCGTCTCCTGCAGCTGCTCCACCGACGCCGCGTCCTCCATCCCCGAACGGTCTGCGGGGCCGGGCGTCACCGCGGGGGGGAACGGCACCGGGACCCCCCAACACGCGCACACACGCACACACACACACGCGCGCACAAACGCGCACACCCTGCCCGGCTCCATCGCGGCACCAACCTGCCGACACCAGCACGACGGCGGTGAACAGCCCCAGCTCCTCGTCGCTGAGCTGCAGCGCGCTGAGCTTCTCGCTGAACTCGAACATGGAGCTGAGCAGGTCGCCCATGCCCATACCCCACAGCTCCTCCAGGCTGTATTTGGTGCGGCTCATGAACGTCACCGTCTGCTCCTTCACGTTGAACAGCGAGGCGAAGCGCACCATCAGCACCTGCAGCACATGGCAACAGCACGGCATCGTGCAGCTCTGCAGGGCACCGTGCTGGGGTGCGGGGGGCTGCGAAGGGAGGCGGGGGGCTGTTAGGACACCGCGCCCCGCGCGACACCACGCGGTGCCGTGCGGCGTCACGCGGTGCTGCGGGGCTCTGCGCTGGGACACGGAGCACCGTGCGACGCCACGTGGCACCGCGCTCGGATACGAGGCACCGCGCGGTGCTGCGCTGCATCGTGCTGAGCTGCTGCATCGCCTGCAGCACCGAGCGCCGTGCAACGCTGGGGGCACTGTGCAGTGCCGTGCAGTGCAGTGCCGGGATGTGGAGCCCCGCGATGGGCTGTGGGACACCGTGCAGCACTACGGGGCACCGCAAGGTCACGGGGCACCGCGCAACGCCGCAGGCACCGTGCTGGGATGTGCAGCACCGTGCAGTGCCGAGGGGCGCTGCGCCGTGCGACGGGAGCCCGGGACGTACCTCGAAGGTGCCGGCTTTGAGCAGGGTGACCTGGTCATGCTGGGACAGCGCCTGGAAGCCGGGAATGTGCTTGGCGAATTCGACCACCTCGCGGACGGCGGGCGTGAAGCTGAGCGAGAAATCCTCCCAGATCTCCTGCACCGAGCGCCCGCTGCGCCCCGCCGGGTGGCTGTTCATGGGGCAGGCCTGCGGGAGCGGCGGCTCAGCGCGGCCATTAGCGCAATTAGCGGCCGTAATGAGCGGGGGGGGCGGGATGGGAGCCCCCGTTGGGCTCACCGGCAGCACGTCCTTGGGGCCGCGAGGCCACGCGCAGCCCCGCGCTGTGGGGTCGGGGTATACGGCGGTGGGGGGGGGGCAGAGCCGGGGTTCGAGGGGGGCGGGGGTCCAGGCGGGGGGGGCCGCGTCCCAGCGCGGCTGGGCGCCGTCGCAGCTCGGGGGGGGGCCCAGCTTGTCGTGCGCGTAGACGAAGATCTCCCGGTGCGCTTTGGCCACCTGAGCGATGACGTCCTCGGTGGCCCCCCCGGGGCTGGGCGAGCGGGGGGGGGTCAACTGCTGCGGGAACTGGGAGAAGCAGGCGGGGGGGGCGAGCGGCGGGGGGCCGGGGGGCAGCGGGCGGCCCCCGACGGGAACGGGTCCCTCGCCCAGAGGTGCCCCTCCCGGCACGGCGCTGCCCACGCTCATGGCGCTCTGCATCTCCGCCAACATCCGCTGCTTCTCCCGCTTGGGGATGCGCCCGAAGCGCACGGCTGTGGGGACAGCAGAGTTAGGGGGCACGGGGAGACCCCCCAGCACAACGGAGACCCCTGGTGGCACGGCCATGTCCTCCCGTCCCCCCCCAACCCCACAGAGAGCATGCAGGAAGGGGGCGCAGAATGGGGTGGGTGCAGCGCCCGGGGCAACGCGCCCAGAGGACTGCACAGCCCTGGGGGGGGTCCCAGCCCTATGGGGTTCCCCAGCCCTGGAGGGGTTCCAGCCTTATAGGAGTGTCCCTGTGCTACTGGGAGGGGGGAGGCACAGTCAGGGTAGGGATCCTGGCTCTATGGGGGTGTCCCAACTCTGGGGTGGGAGGGAGGTCTCATCGCGGGGGGGGTCTCAGCCCAGGGGGGTGGGGCCCATGTCTGTAGAGAATCCCAGTCCATGGAGGGGCTCATAGCTCCAGGGGCGTCCCAACCCTGACCGGGCTCCCAGGCATGGGGGCTCCACCCCAGGGGATGTTCCAACCCCGCAGGGGGGTCCCGGCTCACCGTCGCGGGACATGCCGACCAGCAGGCACTTCTTGAAGCGGCACTGCTGGCAGCGGTTGCGGTTGATGCGAACGATGGAGCAGTTCTCATTCTTCAGGCACTTCTTGTACTGGATGTTCTGCTGGATGCTGCGGCGGAAGAACCCCTGCGGGGCGCCGGGGGGGTCACTGGGGGTCTCCTCATCCCCCACTCCCCCCCCCTCAATCCCCCAGCCCATACCTTGCAGCCCTCGCAGGCGTGCACACCGTAGTGGAAGCCGGAGGCGACGTCACCGCAGACCTTGCAGAGCAGCACCATGCCGTTCAGCTCTGGGGATGCACCGGGGGGGTGAGCGCAGCGCGGGGCCGGGGGGGGGGGCTCCACCCCATCGCCCCCTCCCATCCCACTCACTGGTGACATTGGTGCCGCTCTTATTGGGCGAACCGCGGCGTCGCTCATCCGCTGCCACCGCCACTGCGCCGGGGAATGCGGCCGAGGGGCCGTAGGGTGAGGAGGAGGAGGAGGAAGAGGAGGATGAGGAGGAGGAGGAAGGCGAGCCGTCATCGCGGGGGGGCAGCGGGCCGCCCCCGTAGGGCCGGGAGTCCTGCAGGGAGCCGGTGGGCGACGGGGGGAAGTAGAGGGGGACGGGCTGAGGGCCGCCGGCGGAGCCTTCGCTGCAGAGCGGGACGGGGCTGACGCGTGGGGGGGACCCCACGGAGCCCACGTAGCTGATGACACCGCCTGCGGGAGGCACGGAGAGGATCAGAACGGGTGGGGGCGTGGGGGGGCCGCGGGGAGCGCCCCGGAAGGGCCGTACCCAGAGCTGCACGTGTGCCACGGAGCGGGGTCAGCGGGACGGGTGGCACACGGGGGTGCGTCCCACGTGCCGTGGGGACACGCGGCCCGGAAACGGGGGTGGGAGGGTGTGGGGAGGAAAGGGAGAGACGGGAATCCCGGGACGGGAAACCCAGGGAGGAAATACGGGACGGAACGGCGAGATGGGAACCCCGGGCTGTGGGGTGGGGGGCTGCGCCGGCACCGTGCGGGGGGAGGGGAATCCCCATAAGGGCACGGAGCCCCCACCCGCTGCACGGCCCGGTCCCGCGTGGGGTCACGGCCCCGCGTCCCCCCCCCACGCACACAGCGGCGGTTGGCGCGGGGCCGGGCACGTGCGGGGCGCGCTGCCCTGTGTCCCCCCCCCGGGGTCGTTGCGGGGCGGCGGATCGCGGCGGATCGGGGACAGCGGATCCGCTCCCGTTCACCCCCCCCCCAAGCTCCGAAGGTGGAGGGGGGGCTCGCAGACCCCACAGCAACGCCGCCCCCCCGCAGGTTGCACCGAGGATCCCCGACCCGAAGCGGCGGGGATGCCGCGGGGACGCACCCGGAGGGGTTCCCCGGGACGCGGGGGGGGACCGGAGGCGTCAGGGCCCCGCGGCCACCCCCACCCGCCCTCCTCACGCCGCCGCCCCACGTGCTCCCCCCGCACGTGGCCGCCCCCGGCCCCGCCCCTCACGCGTCGCCCCGCCCCCCTTCCCCCATTGGCCGCCCCCCCCCACGGCGGAGCGCGGCGGCGGAGCGCGGCGTCCTCGCTTCCGCGTGTGACGTCACGGGGAGGGGGGGCGGCGGTGACGTCACGAGGGGCCGCGACCAATGGGCGGGGGCGGGGCGGGGCTGCGGGGAAAACAAACTCCGCACGTGGCAGCGCCGGGGAGGGGGCCACGTGCCGGGGGGGGGGCAGCGCCTCCGCCCCCAATGCGCCCGGTGCCGTTGCGGGACCCCCCGGTGCCTCCCGGGCCGCACACGGAGCTCCCGGTGCCGCAGTGCCCGCGCCGCGGTGCGGGGGGTCCGCCCGGGATCGCTGCGCTTCCGCAGCGCCGTCAGCGCATCCCGGTACCGCCGCTCCGCACTGCGCTGCGCCGCTGTCAGCACATCCCCGTGCCCGGTACCGCTGCCCAGTGCCGCTCGGTGCCGCTGTCAGCACATCTCGGTGCCGGGAATCGGTGCCCAGCTCCGCTCGGTGCGGCTATCGGCGCGTCCCGGTACCGAGCAGCAGCCGGTGCCCGTGCCCAGCCCGCCCGACCCGCTGCCCTACACCGCCCGGTGCCGCTGTCAGCGCGCTCCGGCGCCCAGTACCGGTGTCGGGACCCCCCGGTGCCGCACCGCTCCCGGTCCTTCTCCTGCTCCGCGGCACCGCGCGCTCCCGGGACGGCGGAACGCCTCCACCGCACTCTCGGTGCGGGTCCCGGTGCCGCTCCGCGTCCCCGCAGCTCCGCTCCCCCGCAATACCCGCGGCGCGGGAGCAGCTCCGGCGGCACTGACCTGTGCTGCCGGTATCTGGGGCGGCCATCTCCGAACCGAGCCGCGCAGTGCCGCACCGGACCGGACCGAGCCGCGCAGTGCCGCCCGGTAGCGCCGCTGTGCGCCCGCCGCCCCCCCCCCGCCCGCCACCGGCCGCGGCTGCGCACTGGGCCGCACGCGGCGCCGCCGCCTCCCCCATGTGATTCCCGGGGAGAGCCTCGTGCCCCAGTGACACACTTTCCGCCGGCGGCCCCGCACCGCGCCCGGCCCGGAACCGGGGAGCGCCGCGCTGCGGCACCGGGACCCGCACCGCGCGGGGGGGCGGCGGGGCTGTTCCTGCGGCGGGGGCGCGCGGTGCGGCGATGTGCCCCGCTCCAACGGTACCGCGCCGCACCGGGACCCAACGGGGCCGCGTCCCCTGCGGGGCGGCACCGGGCGCTCCCGCCACCCCGAGTGCCGCTGCCCGCCGGCCCGGGGACGCCCGGTGCGCCGTGGGGTGGCACTGTCACCCCGCACGGTGCAGCTCCCTGCGCGGGGACACCCGGCCACAGCGCGGCCGAGGAGCCCCGGGGGGGGACAAGAAGAACGCTGCGGTGCGCCCCGCGCTGGGGACGTGCCAACACCGCGAAGGGACATCGGGACGCGCAGGGAAGCGCGGCCAGGACGCCCCCAAAGCCAGCAGGAACGTTCCCACGGTTCCCCACGACGTGTCCCCCCGACCCCCCCCCAGCCCCACGTCACGACCCGGGGCCACCTCGAGCCGAGGACGTCACGTGTCCCCGCGCTCAGGTGCCAGGTGAGCGCTGCAGGGACGCACGTGTCCCCCCGCGCCCCCACCCCCGCCCGTCCCCGCGCGACGCCGTGTCCCCGTGGGGCCGTTCCCGGCTCCTTCCCGTGCCCGGCGGTGCCGCGGGGCCGCGTGTGGCCGTGCCCAGGTGGCCGCGGTGCCGCGCGGTGCCGTGCGGCGGTGCCACGTGCGGGAGCGCAGCGCTGCGCACGGGGATATTTTGAGCAGCGCTGTTTACCTCACCGCACCTCTTCCGGGAAAAGCGGGGGGGGGGGTTCCGTGCTGCTGCTCCCCCCCCCCCAATCCCAAAGGGCGATTGCTGGGGGGCGGGGGGCGCAGCTCCCCCCCTTTCCCCCCCTGTGCTGCAGCCCCACGTATCCGCTGCAGAGCTGCGGTGTCCCCACGGGGCCGAGGTCACCGTGCCTGGCCGTGTGCCACCGCGGTCACAGCGTGCCTCAGTTTCCCCTCCTGCAGGGTTAGGCAGTGCCGGGGGG